CTGCTGGAGCTGGAGGTGCAGGTGCTGACGGTGCTGCTAGAGCTGGTGCTGAGTCTGGGGGTGTTGCTGCTGGGGACACTTCGACAGGAGACCCTGGGACTACAGGTGCCGGCTCTGGGGGTGCTCCTGCTAGTGACGCTGGTCCTGGAGGTGCTGGAGCTGCTGGAGGTGGTGGAGCTGCTGGTGCTGGGGGCACTGCGCAGCCACGACTGTTCTTTGCTCCGCCGTCTCCATCGTCTCTGCCACCGCCTGACGCTGCTCTTCGTCAGGTTCTTACCCTCCCGTCGTCTACTGGTCTTCCGTTACAGCCTGGCTCACCACTGCCTGCCCCTTCTCCTTACACTGAGCAGACAGGAGGTCTTGCTGAGCGTCGTGAGCCTGCGTCTCGTCCTGCGTCGCCCGTTCGCACTGCTCGCACTAGTCCTCGTGTCCCACGTCCGCGTCCTCCTCCTGTCCCTGGCACGCACCAGATGACACTTCGTCCGTCCACTGCTCCACTGCGTGTTCCACTGCCGTCCCCCCCTGCGTCTTCTCTGCCTGACGTTCCAGACCCTGAGTCTGACCGTGTACGTGCTGCTCACCCTACTGTCACGCGTCTCCTGGCCACTGTTGTCACTGACCCTTCCTTTGAGTCCGCTGCTGCGTCTGCCTTAGTTGCTGAGCTTGTCGACTTTGCTGCTCACTGTCGTCTAGACTACGCCGCGAGTCTAGTTGCTGAGTCTGAGTCTGTCTGTCCTCCGTCCGTCGGGGGTGAGTGTGCTCTTGGCACGGACGTCCTTGAGGACAGGCAGGAGGAGTTTGAGTGCTTTGCCGCTGCTGTACCTCATCTCGTGTCCATGCTGATTGCACCTGAGGGAGACCCGGATGCACCAGACATCCCGACCCCGCGCTCTTACGCTGAGGCGATCGCGGGTGAGTACTCCTCTCAGTGGCAGACAGCCATGGACGCAGAGATGGCATCCTGGAAGTCCACTGGCACTTACGTCGACGAGGTTCCCCCTCCTGGGGCGAACATCGTCAGTGGCATGTGGATTTTCAGGGTGAAGCGGCCGCCAGGTTCTCCGCCTGTCTTCAAGGCTCGTTACGTTGCTCGAGGCTTCAGTCAGCGAGAGGGAGTAGACTTCTTCCAGACCTTCTCCCCCACCCCGAAGATGACCACTCTTCGGGTGCTGCTGCACGTTGCCGCTCACCGTGACTACGAGCTTCACTCTCTTGACTTCAGCACAGCTTTCTTGCAGGGCAGCCTGCACGAGGAGATCTGGCTGCGCCGCCCCCTGGGCTTCACTGGGTCGTTCCCTCCTGGTACCCAGTGGAGCCTCCGGCGGCCAGTCTACGGTCTCCGCCAGGCGCCTCGTGAGTGGCACGACACACTGAGGACTACACTTGCGGCACTTGGGTTTGCTCCCTCCACAGCTGACCCGTCGCTGTTTCTGCGCACCGACACTTCACTGCCGCCGTTCTACATCCTCGTGTACGTCGACGACTTGGTGTTTGCCACTGCGGACACTGAGGCTCTCGCCCACGTGAAGTCGGAGCTGCAGAAGAGACACACGTGCACAGACTTGGGTGAGCTGCGCAGCTACCTTGGCTTGCAGATCACCCGGGACAGAGCACGCCGCACCATCACCCTGACTCAGTCACACATGGTGCAGCAGGTCCTTCAGCGCTTCGGCTTCACCTGGTCCTCAGCACAGGCCACTCCTCTGGCTACAGGTCATTCGCTCTCAGCTCCACCTTCGGACGAGTCCGTAGAGCCGAGTGGTCCTTACCCAGAGCTAGTTGGCTGCCTCATGTACCTGATGACTTGCACTCGTCCTGACCTCGCGTACCCTCTTGGTCTTCTGGCTCGCTACGTGGCTCCTGGTCGGCACCGACCTGAGCACATGGCTGCTGCTAAGAGGGTACTGCGCTACTTGTGCAGCACATCAGGCATGGGGCTAGTGCTTGGAGGGACGAGCCCAGTTGTTCTCACTGGGCACTCAGACGCTTCTTGGGTTGACGACCAGGCTACTCAGCGGTCGTCACAGGGTTACACCTTCAGCCTTGGCTCTGGTTCAGTTTCGTGGCGTTCTACACGCTCGTCTTCAGTTCTCAGCTCCAGTTGTGAGGCTGAGATCTACGCCACAGCCATGGCTGCACAGGAGTTGCGCTGGCTCACCTACCTGCTGACTGACTTGGGAGAGCAGCCTCGTTCTCCTCCAGTGCTGTACGTCGACAACAAGGCCGCCATTGCCTTGTGTGAGGAGCACAGACTGGAGCACAGAACAAAGCACATCGCTCTGCGTTACTTCCTGGCTCGAGAGCTGCAGCAGCGTGGTCAGCTTCGTCTGCGTCACGTGGCCACTCGGGCCAACACTGCTGATATATTCACTAAGGCGCTTCCGTCTGGTGATCATCAGCGTTTCTGCACTTTGCTAGGGCTTGTGCCCACATTTCCTCACTTGCTGTAGGCCTTGCTTGTACTGTGATCTATATATATATATATATATATATATATATATACGTGCATGTTTGCATTGCTAGGTAGAGATCACTGTGCTGTTCTTGCTGCTTATATACCTCTACATGTGGACTGGCCTTGTGGCCGTTTGTTTGTGCTCAGTGTGTGTGGTGACGTTGTGATCCACCCTGAGCCGTGTTTTGTTTCTTCTCTTGACTGGTCTTGTGACCATTGCTTGCTCTGGCTATCCCCCATTTCGCCTATGGGGGTGTGTCAAAACATATGCATGTTAGTATCTAGGCTATATTGGGGCTAGCCTTAAGGGGTACAGAAACTCACTCGACACTCTAGTCTTGTACCCCAACCTCCACCTAATCACACATACTCTTCTCATTCTAACAGCTCCCAGCGCCAGCAGCCCACGCCAGCGCCGGCAGCGGGTGATTCCGCCCTTCCCACCCGCCCTCCCTTCCGTCGTGGAGGGGGGGGGGTTGGGGGGGGGGCGGGTGTGAGGAGCCTGCCGCTCCTCCCTCCCTTCCCTCTTCCTCTCTCCCTGCAGCACTTGTTGCTGTGGGGGGGGGGGGGGGGAGAGAGGGTAAGGGGGGATGAGGGAGGGTATGAGAGAGAGTGGCAGAAGCAGCAGCCCTGCATTTGCAACTGCCACCCTTTGCTACTGTGGCACCTCCAGCTGCAGCCCCTGTTGCCACTTAATTCGTCTCTTTCGTTTGCTGCTGTTGAGCGGCAGGTGCTGCCGTTGAGCCTGCTGTGCCGCCGCTCGTTGCCGCCGCACGCCGCTCTCCAGGCGACCTGCGCCACATGCACCTTTCTTTCGTTTCTGTATTGGCTAAGGGGTTTCTGCAGTTGTTTCTGCCACTGCTGCACTGGTTGTCATTGCTCTTGCGTGCTAATGCTTTCAGTACACTTGCAGGTTGTGATTTATGCTTTGCTATTCCTGCATGCAGTTAAGGGGGAATGTCAGAGTTATATTACTGTAACTGCATGTAGATATAGCAGTAGTGTAGTTATCACATTCTGTTTGGTGGATTACCCCCTTTCCTATCATATTTGTACCCTTGACTCTATAGTGAAGTCCTCTTTCATTGCCAACTCCCTCGACACTCTACCTCCTAGCATGGCTCCTAAGACTAAACCCTAGCAACCTATCTTGACATGTCAGTCCACTCAACAGGTTCCTCCAAATCCGTGGACCACTGCGCTTGCTGCTGCTACCTGTTGTGTGGCCCGCACGGAAGCCATCAAGTGCAAGGTTAGAAGCAACCTCAGGGGAACGTCCAAATTAAACTGCAGGATTTGCAGAGGATGGGTGCAGGAGGTTTTGCTGCAACTCGTCTCCACTTACGCACAGGTTGCCCGTTGAAGTGGCTATTTTTTTACACACATTCCTTTCAAGCTTCCTGCAATTTGAGTGCTTTGGTACATATATACATATTACTATTTCCTTGCTATTTCATTTTAGGGAGGGATGCCATTTCCTTGATTTCGAACAATTCATTCATCTGTACTTGCAATTTCCAGCCATCTGTACTTCCAAAGGCATGTATTTCTAATGCTGACTCTAGGCTTCTATCAAAATTCATTATTTCGAATTACACACTGCTCTACCTTTAGCTTACACTACATTCTCTATTCCATCAAAAATCGCTTACCGTACATTTTTTGTTTTTCTCCTAAGCAGCCCAAGCCAACCCGTACCTGTAAACGCCAATTCTACCAGCCTTACATCCCTAAAAAGCCACCTACTACCTGGTACTCTTCCTCCTCGGTAAGCCAACTGCTCCTACTCCTAATCTTGCACCGGACCCCCCTTGACCATCACTTGTTTTCCCTTCAGTCAATGCCCCAGCAATGGAACCAGCAGCAGCTAAGGAGACATCTTGGTTGGGTGATGAACCAGAGCCGCTTCTCCCAATCCCGTGGGACGACCCAGGCCTGGATCCAGGCCTGGAACCGGGCCTCGAACCGGGCCTGGAGCCTTGGCCCGAGCCGGGCCTCGAGCCTGCAGTGGCGGTTGGGACATGACCCCAGGACCTGAGATTGTCACCTGGGTGTTGCTGTTGCTGTTGCTGCTGCTGCTGTTGCTGCTGCTGCTGCTTTTGCAGAGGTGATAATGCCGGTGGCGTTGTTGCTGCTCCTGCTGCTGCTGGCGGTTGTGACGGCGAGTGATATGGTGGCAGTGGCTGGTGGTTGCTGTTGAAACTGGACGACCGGGGAACCAACCTCGAGTGATCAGACGACTGGAATCCCTGTTCCTGCTGGGGAGGCAGCGGCTGGTGGTGGCTGTTGAAGCTGGATGACCTAGGGATCGACTCAGATTCAGACCTTGGGATGGGCACGAGTGGTCTGTCTCGTGTTGGCGCTGCTGTTGAGTGTGGTCCCTGCGGCTGCGGTTGCAGCGGCTGGTGTTGGTTGTTGAAGCTGGACGACCGTGGGATCGACTCGGATTCAGACCTTGGAATGGGCACGCGTGGTCTGTCTTGTGTTGGCACTCTATCTCTCTCCCCACTGCCACTCGCACTCACAACCCCCCCTGCATGCCTTCTCACCCTTCCCACTCCTCCTCCTCCTCCTCCTCCTCCTGCTCCTCCTCCTCCTCCTGCTCCTCCTCCTCCTCCTGCTCCTCCTCCTCCTCCTGCTCCTCCTCCTCCTCCTGCTCCTCCTCCTCCTCCTCCTCCTCCTCCTCCTCCTCCTCCTCCTCCTCCTCCTCCTCCTCCTCCTCCTCCTCCTCCTCCTCCTCCTCCTCCTCCTCCTCCTCCTCCTCCTCCTCCTCCTCCTCCTCCTCCTCTCCTCCTCCTCCTCCTCCTCCTCCTCCTCCTCCTCCTGCTCCTCCTCCTCCTCTTTCCCCTCCTCCTGCCCCAGAGCTTGACCCGAGTGCTGCAGTCGGAGAGGCCATGCCGTGAGTCACCACATCCACGGACACGCTACGAGCCACACCATGCCACCCACCACCACCCCCGCCACCACCGCCAGAACCACCAGTGACCCCCTCTCTGCGTGTCTGCCCCTGCCTCTGCCCCCCCTCCTTTGACCGCTTAGCCCATGCTGCCAGTGCTGCACTCGCACTGCTCGCCTTCTCTACAGGAATCTGCTGCTGCTGCTGCTGCTGCTGCTGCTGCATTTGCTGTTCCTGCTGCTGATGGTGGTGGTGTTGCTGTTGATGGTGCTGTTGCTGCAGCATTAGCTGCTCCTGAAAGAACTCCCTCCCATCGTGCTGCTGATACTGATCAGCTGAAATAGCCCGAGGCAGCTGCACCTTCCCCTTCCGAGCCTGCCGCATCCGACCCTCCTGCGGTGCCTGGGAGACGACCGACTGCCAAACCTCCTGCTGCCGAGCCTCCGGCTGCTGAGCCTCCTGCTGCCGAGCCTCTGGCTGCTGCGCCTCCTGCTGCCGAGCCTGCGCCAGGCGCTGCTGCTGCTGCTGCCGAGGCCGTTCTTGCATAGACCCGGACCCCCAGGGAGGCCTTGCCACAGAGGGGGATGCCGAGGAGGAGGCGGACGAGAGAGAGGCGGAGGGAGGGAGGGAGAAGAGTGCTGGTGACTGTGATTCGGAGGAGCGGCGTTCTTTCATGGAGAGGGAGGAAGGGAGGGTCATGGCTGCAGCTACTGCTGCCCGCGTTGGCAGCTGAAACCCGCTCGACCTCCGGGTTAGTTTCCGAAATGCCCTTGGGGATTTGACAGGCAAGTCGAGAGACGCCCGTTCGGCTGGGAATCGCCTCTCCTCCCCGTCCTCCTCTCTTCCCTCCTCTCTTCCCTCCTCTCCCCCTCCCTTCCCCTCTTCGCCACTTAAGAAATCCGCCCTTCCTGCCCCCTCTCCCCTGCCTGGTGTATTCACACTGCCTCCCCCATCTCCCCTGTCCCCCTCACCCCCCCTGATTCCCCCATCCGCCCTCTCTCCGTGCCCGGAGGGGCGGGGAGAGCGGAAACCGCCGGGGGAGAGGAAGCCGCGGGGGGAGAGGAGAGCACGGGGGGACTTGGCCCCAAACATATCGCCCATGCCTGAAGCCCAGGTCTTGGTGGGAGCAAGGGGGGCAAGCACCTTCATTGATGTTTTCACGGAGGTTTTCACCGCTGCCGCTATCCCCGACCCTGCTGCCGCTGCTAGCCCCGAACCTGCTGCACCCAGCTTCGTTCGCCCGCCCCTGCTGGCCGAACCACCTGGGTTGGCAGCGCTGGCAGCAGTGGCACCAGAAGCACCAGCACCAGAACCAGCATTAGCAGTCGCAGCAGCATCAGCTGCTGAGGCGGCGGCGGCAGCGGCGGCTGCGGCAGCGGCAGCAGAGTCCCAATGTCCTGGCCTATGTGCTTCACCCCTGTGAGGGCTCAGCAGGTGCATGCCCTTACCCACCCCTGCCACTCCGTGCGGCCCAGACCACCCCCTCCGCCACCCCCCACTCGACTTTGGCCGCCCTCCTGTTGGTGTTGCTGCCGCTGCTTCTGCTGCTGCTGCCCCTGCCCCTGCTGCTTCTGCTGCCGCCCATCCCGTTCCTCCTGCTCCCCCCGCTTCCCCCGCTTGCTCTCCCAAGTTCCCCATGCCGCGGTCACCCCACTGCATCTGCATCTGCATCTGCTGCTGCTGCATCTGCGTGTCCGACCAGCTAGTGGGCAACCGAGGGGCAGAACCAGCTTGAGAAACAGCACCAACTTGAGGGATAGAACAAGCTTGGGAAACAGCACACACCCTTCCCTCCCCATCTCCACCAACCACACCACCTGTCTCCGGAAACGCCCCCTCTTCAATGTTCCCCCCCGCGGCTCCTAGGTCCCTGACCTGGGTGCTCGAATTACCCTCTACCATTATCAGCCTCGAGTGCTGCAAATGAGGTTCATGCCCCTCTCTCCCTTCTCTCCCTTCTCTCCCTTCTCTCCGTCCCCTCTCCCTCCTCTCTCCCGTCTCTCCCCTCCCTCCTCTCCGCTCCCCCTTCTGACTTGTGTTTTCTAAAGAAATTCCGCGGCGAGAGGGGGAAGAGGCGGGGGGAATGAGGCGGAGGCGTGCCGGGAACGGCACCAAACCCCGACCCTCCTGGGAACTGCCGGGAGAGGAACGACCGGGGAGTCACAGCAGGGTTTTGATGGGGCTCCGAAGGGGGTGTGCCTGGGGGAACAGCACCAAACCCTGACCGGGGGGTCAACGCTGGGGCACACTCGCCCGCTGCCCCAGCTGCTGCTGATGGTGGTGCTGATGCCGACGCCAGCACTGCTTGCTGCTGCTGCTTCCCCGGGGATGGCTTCTTTTCCCGGTACCCTCGTCTGCGCCCCAGCAGAGGCGAGCGCAGGGGGGACGAGGAATGGGAGGCAGGGTCTTTGAGCGGACGGGAGGGAGGCGTGGGAGTGAGGGGAGGCGTGGGCGTGAGGGGAGCGGTGGGTGTGAGGCCACCACTGGTGGAGGAAAGGGTGGGTGTCACGTCACTGCTAGTGGTGCCAGCTCCAACAGTCGCGTCAGAGCTAGCAGAGCGAGACACATTGGCACTAGCAGTGCAAGCACCATCACCAGAACACGCAGCAGCAGCAGAGGGGGAGGCGGCAGAAGGGAGGGAGAGGCGGGAGTGGGGCACTGCAGGCCCCTTTCGCCTGGACCACAGGTCGCCTTTGAATCCGCCCTTGTGTCCCCCGTGCCGCCTCTCTCCTGCTGGGCTTGGGGTGCCGGTAGTGGGAGAGGAGGCAGCAGGACTAGGTGCAGTGGGGGAGGAGGCTGCACTGCCTGCTGTTGGGGAAACCAGACTTGCAACCCCGGCAGCAGCAGCAGTGGCAGCAAGCGCAGCAGGGGAGGAAGCAGGGGCAGCAGCAGCTGCTGCATGTGCCCGTGCGTAGAGGCCAACAGTCCCCCCAACAGGGGGAGCGGCAGGCAGGATGGCCTGCTGAGGCGCCTGAGGGGAACCCCTCTGCTGCTGCTGCCGCTCCCGTGAATCGCTGCGGACTCTCAAGAGGAAAGCAGGATCAGCAGCAGCAGCAGCAGCAGCAGCAGCAGCAGCAGCAGCAGCAGCAGCAGCAGCAGCAGCAGCAGCAGCAGCAGCTGCCCCGGTGAGGCCCACGGGTGTGGCGAGGACCCCCCCTGGGCTGTCGATGCTTTCACAGGGACTCAGCACGCCTCCCCCGTGTGGACTGTACATGCTAATGCTGCCGTCCATGCTCAGCCCGCACTCCATGCTCAACGTGCTGCACCGCTCTGCACCGCGCTGCTTCCACGCCGGCTGAAACGGCTGCTGCTGCTGCTGCTGATGATGATGATGATGCTGCTGCAAGGGCAGCACTAGGTGAGGAGAATCGCCACCAAAGGTTGAAACGGAAAGGGAAGTGCCTGGCGCACTGGGTACACTGTTCAAACCTGCCACACCTGGCCTTGTGTCCCAGCCATGACACACCACGGCCTCCCCCTCGCTGCCACTGCTCCCCTCATCCATCCCTCCAGCCCCCTCCTGTCCATCTCCCACCTGCCGCCGCCCCCCCCGCTGCTGCTGCTCGTGAAGCACCTTCATGCCAGCACCAACCACCGCAGTGCCTGTTGTCACTGCTGTGCGCACCCCCTCCCAGCTACCGCTGCCACCAACCAGTCTATTCTCCCCTCCCAATTCTAGCCCACCGCCTGCCCTGCTCCCCAGCCTATTGTCCAGCATGCACGCTGAGCCTTGTACCTCCTCGCTCCTGCACACAGGAACAGGCATCCGGTTCCCTCCAACCCCTCCAAACCCCCCTGTTACCCCTCCAACCCCTCCAAACCCTGCCCCTCCTGCAACTCCCTCTGCCGCTCTTGCTCCCTCTGCCCCTCGCCCGACCCCTCTCCCCCCGCGCCCCGCCCCTCTCCCTTTGCTCGGCCGTCCTCTTCTCGCCCCTCTTCCTTCCACCGCCCCACCTCCCTCCACCCCTCCTCCGCCTCTCCTCTCTCCCATCCTGCTAGGCGAACCAAACGGAGGCTCGCCACGAGGTCCGGGAATGAGAGGCTCGGCAAGGAGAGGCTCGGGAACAAGAGGTCTGGCAATGGGCGTGTGGGGGTCGTCCTCAGGCAGAGGGGTTGTACACTCATCTGAATACAGCCCCTCCTCTACCTCCCCTCTTTCCTCCTCCTCCTCCCTTTCCTCCTCATGCTCCCTGTTCTCTTCATGCTGTAAACCATTCCCCAGAAAGCTACCAGGGTTGCCTGAACCGCTCTGCACCTGCCCCTCCTCCTCCCTTTCCTCCTCCCTCTCCCCATCCTCCGCCCCGTCCTGTGCTGGTTGGTCCGTGAGAGCAGCGGCAGGCGGAGGGGGGTTGTCGAGCCGCTGCTTGAGCTTGCGCTGCACGAGCGCTCGGAGCAGGTCCATGAGCTTGATGACGTGCTGGAAGCCGATGAGAGGGTCGACAATCTGGTGGTGGGATGGGAAGGAAGATCAAGCCAAAAGAGAGGGAAAGGGAAAATGAGGGCTACTCTAGTTGTGCTTGAGCTTGCGCTGCACGAGCGCTCGGAGCAGGTCCATGAGCTTGATGACGTGCTGGAAGCCGATGAGAGGGTCAACGATCTGGTGGGACGGGAGGTGGTGTGAAGGGGAGGGAGGTGGGGAGAGGACGGGGCAAGTGTAAGGCGCTCGGAGCAGGTCCATGAGCTTGATGACGTGCTGGAAGCCAATCAGGAGATCCACGATCTGATAGCGGGCGGGAGGAGGGAGAGGGAAAAAGGGGAAAGGGAGAAAGAAGGGCTCCTTGAGCTGTGTGCTTGAGCTTGCGTTGCACGAGCGCTCGGAGCAGGTCCATGAGCTTGATGACGTGCTGGAAGCCAATCAGGGGATCCACGATCTGATAGCGGGCGGAAGGAGGGAGAGGGGAAAGGGGGAAAGGGAGAAAGAAGGGCTCCTTGAGCTGTGTGCTTGAGCTTGCGTTGCACGAGCGTTCGGAGCAGGTCCATGAGCTTGATGACGTGCTGGAAGCCAATCAGGGGGTCGACAATCTGAGAGGAGACAAAAAGGAAGGGGGAAGCGTGGGACGGGGTTGAGTGAGGGTTATACTAGTTGCCTTGAGCTTGCGCTGCACCCGCAACACTCTGAGGAGGTCCAAGAGCTTGATGATGGGCTGGAAGCTGATGAGCGGATCTGAGGGGGGGGAGGACGGGGAAGCGAGATGGAAGAGAGGGAGAGTGGAGGATGGACGGAGCAAGAGACAGAAGGGGGAGGTGGGAAGGACGAAGGAAAGATGGTTGCCCACCACTTCTCCCCACCACCTTTTCCCACCACTCTTGCTGCCTTTTGAATCACCTGATAATCCACCTGAGGCACCTGGCAACCCACCTGGGTCATGTTGGGCGCGAACACCACAGCAATGTTATGCGCGTTCATCTTGTTGCTGGCCTCGTGCTGCACCACATCCGCCATGAGCCCCACCGCCCAGTCCAGCCCTGAGACCTCTGAGAACCGAACCACTCTCAACCCACCCAAACCGCTTCCCGATTCACCCGACACATCCCACAACACACCTGGGTCATGTTAGGCGCAAACACGACAGCAATGTTGTGAGCGTTCATCTTGTTGCTCGCCTCGTGCAGCACCACGTCCGCCATGAGCCCTACCGCCCAGTCCAGCTCCCAGACCTCTTGAAACGGAATCACAACCGAGCCACACACCATCGTACCCGATTCAGCTCCTCAACAGACCTCAGGCACCCCCCAGCCAGCTCACCTGAGTCATATTTGGAGCGAAGACAACGGCAATGTTCTGGGCATTCATCTTGTTGCTGGCCTCGTGCTGCACCACGTCCGCCATGAGCCCCACAGCCCAGTCAAGGATTGAGATCTCTCTATACCGCGCCACACCCAACCCAACAGAACCACACCCTCCCGCACACCTGGGTCATGTTGGGGGCGAAGAAAACAGCAATGTTATGGGCGTTCATCTTGTTGCTCGCCTCGTGCTGCACCGCGTCCGCCATGAGCCCACAGCCCAGTCCAGCCCTGGGACCTCTGAGAACCGAACCACGCCCAACCCACCCAAACCGCTTCCCGATTCACCCGACACATCCCACAACACACCTGGGTCATGTTAGGAGCAAAGACAACAGCGATGTTATGCGCGTTCATCTTGTTGCTGGCCTCGTGCAGCACCACATCCGCCATGAGCCCCACCGCCCAGTCCAGCATGCCGGCCTGCAGGGCGGGCAGTGTGGCCACCAGCGCCAGCATCTGCTCCTCCCTCTCCGCCGCCGCTACTTTCTCCGGTTTGAGCCGGTCCAATAAGCCTTCTGGTAACTCGCGGAACCATGCCTGAATTGTGTGGGAGAGGGGGAGTGGGGGTACAAGTCAGGCAGCGCGGGCAGTGTGGCCACCAGCGCCAGCATCTGCTCCTCCCTCTCCGCCGCCGCTACTTTCTCGGGTTTCAGGCGGTCCAGTAGGCCCTCTGGTAACTCGCGGAACCACGCCTGGATGAGGGGGGAAAAGGGGAAAGTTGAAGGGAAGGGAGGGGAAAAACGGGAAGAACGGGATGGGGATGCGGTTGGGGGTGGGAATGGGGATGCGGTTGGGGGTATAAGAGAGCCACAGCAATGTGGAGGGAAAGCAGCGGAGGAGAGGGTAGTGAGGGGACGAAAGAGGGGAGAGAGGAGGGAGAGAAGAGAGAAGAGGAGAGGAGGGAAAGGTGGGTGGGAGAAGAGGGAGAAGGGGGAGAGGAAGGGGAAGATGGGGAAGAGGGAGAAGAGGGGAGTGGAAGGAGTGGAGGGAGAGGAGGGGAGGCAAGGGAGAGAGGGAGAAGAGGGGAGAGAAAAAGGATAATAGAGAGGAGGGGAGGGGAGGAGAGGGGAGGGAGGGAGGTGGGTACCTTGATGAGGCCTGCAATGGCATGTACGTCGATGTTGCGCGGCACAAGACCCAGGTTGACCTGCAATGGGGCGAGGCAAGGCGAGGTGCAGGCAACGTGCACATGGGGAGCGAAAAACAGAGGGAGATTTGGAGTGGAAACAGCGTATGGACCAGAGGTGACGAGAAGGGACCGACACCAACAGCAGGAGGTGAGGCATGATATGAAATGAGGCGCGACGGTGGTGGCGAGAAGGAAAAGAGCAATGGATGATGGGTGCAGCAAGCAATGCAGCGGGCACGTGACACAGAGAGAGACAGACGCACCTGCTCTCGGATCCAGTCCTCATGGTCGTTCTGCGCAGCCACTCGAAATATGCCCTCCGTCTGTCTCCCCCCGGAGGAGGCATGGGGCGCAATGGGTTGGGGCGAAAAGAGGAGGGTGGGAGACGAGGGTTGGGGTTGGGGGTGGTGAGTGGTTAGGGAAGGAACCCAAACATGCATTGGCAAGCGGAACTAACAGGCGGATGGCTGGCACGCAGGCAGGCAGGCAGGCAGGCGGACGGGAAAGAGAATGTGGCGTTTCATGTGGCCTGGCGACTGCAGGCCGCAGCCCAAGTCAGCGCCACACTGCTATGACTCCCACCCCCCATCCATCTACCCACAGCTCAGCTCAGCACAAAATTTTCGAGACGTCTCAAAACGTTGGGAAAGGAATGTGGCGTGCCGTGGCATGTACAGGTGACCTGGCGAGGCGACTGCAGGCTGCAGCCCCACCTGCACCGCACAGCAGCAGCAACTCAACTCCACACTGCTGTGGCTCCTGCTGCAGCCCGTTCTTGCCGTAGAGCAGCGCCTGCAGCTACAGCAGAATGTCCGGCTGAGCGCCTCTCTGTCCATACTATAAGGCAACTGCTCCACACTGCTATGAGTCTCGCCAGACCTACCCCTTCCCCCCTTCCCCTCACCCCACCCGCCCCACCAGGCACAGCACGCACCTGCAGCCCGTTCTTGCCGTAGAGCAGCGCCTGCAGCTGCAGCAGAATGTCCGGCACCTGGTTGCCCTCCAAATCGTGTGAACACTGCAGCGTCTCTGGCCGCACCCCAAACACAGTCCGACTGACCAGGCAAGGTTGGGTGATGGAGGGGGGAAAGGGGGAAGGGGGAACGGGGAAGGGGGAAGAGGGAGGAGAAGCAAGATTTGAGGAAAAGAGGTGCACCACCGGCACCTGGTTGCTCTCCAAGTCGTGTGAACACTGCAGTGTCTCTGGCCGCACCCTCCGGCCACACGGACTGGCTGACCGGGGAGCAAAAAGGGGGAAGGGAAAGATGAGACAGGAGGTTGGGGTGTGTGAGTGTGTGGGGAAGGTGAATGCTTGGACCGGGCCAACCCTACAAGCCGTCTGGAAAGCCAAAGAAGCCCCAAAGGGAGCCCTCGGAGAACCGAGGAAGGAGACAACGTCAGAAGAACTTGTCCCTCATTCCCCCGTGACAAACACCTGGACCCTGGTGGTGTTGCTGAGGCTGCAGCGCACACTCAGGCAACCCCCGGTGGAAGTCGTCTGAGAAGCCGAAGAAGCCCTGGGAAGCTCGAGAGACTTGAGAGGCCCAAAAAGACCCTAGAATCAACTTCATATGCAGCTGACATGTAAGCTCCCTTCCCCCCTGAATGACCACCTGGCGCTGGGAACTCGTGCGGGCAGTTCCCCATGCAAGTCGACCAGCAGGCCAAGGAAGCCCTGGAAACCCAAGAGATTCCAATAGACAAAGTCGGAGGAGCTTGCTCCGCGTTTTCCCTGAAGGATCACCTGGTGCTGGGGGCTCGAGCAGGCAATTCTCCGTGAAAGAAATCTGGCAGGCCGAGGAAGCCCTGAAAGCGGTCGAAGGTGACGTGCGTGAGAGGCAGGCACCTACCTGACCTGACCTGACCTGACCTACAATACAATCCCTCCCCTACCTCGCGCTGGGGGCTCGAGCAGGCAATTCTCCGTGGAAATCGTCCGGGAGGCCGAGGAAGCCCTGGAAGCGGTCGAAGGTGACGTGTGTGACGTGGCTCACGCCGGTTGGCGCGCCTATCTCGATCTCCCGCTCGTCATCTGCGGGGGAAGGGTGATAAAGGGGGGAGGGGGAGGGGAGCCTCGAGGCGCCTCACAACTCGGGAGGCCGAGGAAGCCCTGAAAACGGTCGAAGGTCACGTGCGTGGCGCGCGTGGCTCAATCTCCCGCTCGTCATCTAAGGGGATTCCGGGGAAGAGCGTGCGGAGGGGTGCGGGGAGAGGGGGAAGGGGAGGGAAAAGGGGAGGGGGAGGGGGAAACGGAAGGGGAGGGGGAAGGGAAGGGGGGAAGAGGGAGGGAGAGAGGGGCGGGGAGAGGGAGGGGTAGAGGGAGGGGGAGAAGGGGAAAAAATTCTTCGGAGATGTTTCAGAAAGAACTTACTTTCTTGCCGACACGACTATTTTAATCACCAAGTCGTCACATGGCTGGTTTCGGGAAAAGGATAGGGGGAGGCCGGGGGTGGAGCGGGATGGGTGGAGGGAGGAGTTGAAACGAGTTGGGGAGTTGTCACGAGGAGGAGGATACAAGATGAGCTTCACGATTAGACCTGTACAGTGGACTTCGGAGTACAGACTAGCTAGTAACGTGAGACGCATCGCCACGAGAGACTGTGGGACGCCTCGGGGAACGATGATTAAGTGGTTTACTAGCAACTTGTCTCCTAGTCTGTGGAGCATGGAAACCTAGCGCGCTAGAAACGACATGGCCGGCTTGTCAAGAAAACGAGCCACCTCCGACGTCTACTGAGCAGGTCGCTTAGTCTCTATTGGTATACGACATTCAAGTCGACTCCTCAACGGTCGATTCGAGTCGAAGCTGCTGCTTGGGATCCGTCGAAGCAGCTTTGACGGTTGAGGGACGAAACGACGAAACAACTTATTTTCAGGAGAACGATGGCTAGACGTTGATTGACATTACCTCGTCCTCTGGTCCGTCCGATGCGGCTGATCGACCTGACTAACTTCCAGCTGCCGTTGATGACGTCCATTCCATCACAGTACCAGTGTTAAAACTTAGTCGTGAATAACTTCTATTAATAATGTTTCGAAAGAACCTTCTTAGCTCTCGCTCTCCTCAAACAACCACATATGTACTCCATTTCGCATATGTTATCTGGCTCCCGTCCGTAACAAAAGAATAATATGTACGGTTCGCCGAGTTCCTAAGCAAGTTGTGACCTAAAAGCTAGTTTCGTTTCGAGGTCTCAATGCGGCCGTGGGAAGCGGGGTGGACACTCGCACGCACACTCACACACACACTCACACACACACTTTCGTACACACACACGGAATCTGGCCGAAAACAACCCCTCACTCACACCCAGTTCCCAGACCCCACTCACATTCTCTCACTCCCTCACAGCCCCCTCATTCACCCACCCACTCCCTCCCACTCCTCACTTTCTTTCCCCCTCACTTGCAGATGTACAGCAACCAGCAGTACGGAAGGCAGGGGACAGACAGTGAGCAGACTCGTCGTTACGCTCGTGGCATGGGAACACCAATCAGCGGCGACGGACACGTTGGTTTGGTGGGGCCGATGAAAGCTCAGGGAGGGGGTACGCGTTATGACAAATTGGACTACTCTAGATAAATTTGTTTTTGTTACAGCGTGGACTTTCAATGCCTTATGTTGCAATTCTGACTTCAATAAAGCATACCCAAAGCACCCCACGTTTGCTCCTGCTAATTCACGAGCAGCAGGCCTGCTGTGTTTCGTTAGTGGCTGGCTTACGAGGTGGGACGGACGCGGATTTGGCGGGAAAAGAGGCTCGACGCGGAGCCTCGGAGGCCGGCGTCGCTGTCCTGCTAATTTTCTTTCCGAAGCTCCCGTTTAGGCTCGTCGCTCCCGTCCATTCTCGTATCTACCGTGTCGTCTCATCGCCCTCGTTTTGTCTCGACTCGCCTAGACTGGTCCCCCGTCAACCATGACCTCTCTTCTCGCGCCGCATTCCGCCATCACAGCCGTCGTAGATTCCGCTGCTGCACACAGAAGGGTTGAACGATCCGCGCCAGGACCTTCCCAACTGTTGTCTACTCGCACGTTCGTTACGTCAACCATTTTCCTTGGACGGTTGCGCCGCCCGTCCTCCTCTCTCCGACCACAACCTTCCACATCAGCAGCAGCTGTTTCCACGCGAAACGCCCTAGTATTCGCCGCGTCGTCGTCGTCGTCGTCGTCATCGAGCTCGGAGGTGCGTCCATTCTGTACAGACTAGGCGATCCATCCGTTGCGATGTCGTAAGCGGCCTCTCATGGTTCCTCCGTATACTGCGTTTGTTGCATCGCGCCCACCGTTCCGTTGATCGCGGAGACACGGCTCTCGTTCTTCCGCCCATTCACTCCAGACCCTCCCATTTCCCCCATCCGACGCCCCACTTCATACTTCACAGCTACCTACAACCACAATTTTGTATCACATTACTTGTGAACTACAAATCGTTCTCCACTTCAGGTAATAAGTTTCATGATACACTTCCAATGCCAGTCTTTCTGACATCGCTGACATCAGCAGTGCAGCAGGACTGGCATTGGACGGGTGCCAGAAGCACCCGTCGCTGATAACTGTGAGTTATCGAGACGTCTGATCCAGCTCACAGTCCCTCCCTTCCCCACGCCCAGTCTCCTCCCCAAAGGCCTAACATTCTTTGTGCTGCCTGCTGTGAAAAGTGGCTCGTTGCGGTGTGAAGGGTAGCGGGGACAGAGGGAGCAGAAGGCGTGGCGGAATTATAGGGTCAACGTGTCCAGCAACAACCGCCTCTTCCTCTCTTGCCCTATCTATCTCCCCCCCTTGAACTCCCAACGCCTTCCGCCGCCAGGCTGTTCTCTCCACTTCCACTATTCCGTGCCCGGACTGCAGCGGCCAGGGCTGGCTGCAGTGCGACGTGTGCCAGGGGGAGAGGGTTAACGTGAAGGTCAACAAACGCCTCTTCCGCCGCTGCCCTGGCTGCTACGCCGTGAGTCTGTGTGGTTGTGTGTGGTTTGGAGGGGCCAGTGGGTAAAGGGGAGGAAAGGGTTTGAAGGAGAGATGTGAGACGAGCTGTGTGGATTTGTGCATGCCTTTGTGTGCTTGTCTGTATGTGACTGCATGCATGTACGAGTGTATGCTATTCTTGACCCGTTTTTACAGACATTGAGTTTGAGTCATTTTGTAGTCACCTCGTTTTGAGTTGACTCAAATGTGTGTGACTGCATGCATGTTTCTGTGTGTGGTAAGCTTCTGTTGCTTCTACACACAGGCCTAGGAGCACCCAGTTCTCTGACCTTTTAACATTGAGCACTGCACCTGCGAGGCATCCTCTTCCAGGCAGCTTGTGTGTTACCCCATTTTACTTCATCTTTCCTGTTCTCTGACTTCTCTTCTTGGTCTTTGCAGCTGGGGATGACGCTCTGTCAGAAGTGTAAAGTGTACAAATGTGTCACATTTCCAGATGGCGTTGATGGTGGTGCTGTAGACGAGTGAAGGAGTGATTGTGTACTGCAATATCTGAGCATTTTTTTGTTCCAGGCCCTTGACGTCAGGTTTTATGTGGTGTCGTGCTGAAAACCTTTTGAGCATAAGCTTGCAATATTTGTCTCAAGGAAAAATAAATTAATTCATTGGTTTGTGATTAGGCAGTTCTGGTCTGAGGCCTGAAGTTCATACCGTGATGCTGGTGATGAAGACTATTGTTTGATTAACAACATTATTGATTGTAGTCTGATTTTGAGGACATGTTCCTTAATTATAGAGCCTGCAGAGAAGCGAACTGCGTGTATTGAGCCAGGTTCTTCCCGCTTCAGTTCTCAAGGTGTCAGGCAGACCCCTCTGGATCCTTGCAGACCAACAAAAGTTGTAGTTTCGAATCCGTCAGCCCTGCAGTGAAAAGCGTGCCTCTAGGATTCAGGAACTGTTCGACGTTCGACGACTTCCTTCTTCTGATACTTGTTGGCCAGTAATATAATTGCTTTACTTTGACTCCATGACGGGAATCTCTTTGGGTAGGCTGACGGAAGAACGAAAAGCTTGGCGGAAGAACCATCCGCACGTGAGTCGTGAGTGACTTTATGCTCGCACGTTGCAGATTTTTAGCGTATACGTATGATGACACGTGGATTGCTTTCACGCCGTGCAGGGATTTGTCGCCAGACCAGAGGCTAAAGATGATGGCTCGACAGACATGATGACATGGAAGTGCGTTATACCTGGAAAGAAGGACGTGAGTAGCTATCGAATGGCTCTTCGTGTTTCTAGTTTGCTCCTTGATTTATATTCAACTTTCTTTCTTTTGCAGACGGACTGGGAAGGTGGCCATTATCCGCTGACGATACACTTTACGGAAGACTACCCATCGAAGCCGCCAAAGTGCAAGTTCCCTCCAGGCTTTTTCCATCCCAACGTATATCCGTCAGGCACGGTGTGCCTCAGCATTCTCAACGAAGACTATGTCAGTATCCCTTGCAGTTGCTGCTGCTTCTAACTTCAGCGTCGTTCTATCGTCCTTCACGTCTTCTTCTCTCCCCTCACCACCATTTTCTTCCGTTCCTCCCCCGCTCCCTGCATCTGTCTCTCTACGCCTTTGCGATTTCCGTTTGCGGTCTTCAGGGATGGAGACCAGCCATTTCTGTGAAGCAAATCTTAGTTGGTATTCAAGAGTTGCTTGACCAGCCAAACCCTGCCGACCCAGCTCAAACTGATGCATACCAGCTCTTCACTCAGGTCCGTTGATCCCTTGAGCTGCATTCTTTGTTTTCATGATGTTCATCCGTTGTTCTTTGTTTGACACCTGATTAGATTTTGCTTACTGCTTTTCTTTCAGGACACGGTGGAGTACAAAAAGAGGGTCAGGGAGCAGGCAAAACAATACCCTTCTCTTATCTGACAAGTTTGTGCGAGAATTTGTTGGCCAGTTCGATCACCATTACTATTTAGGTGCACCCTAGGTCCATGACCGAATAACACGGCTCGCTCGCTGTCGCTTGGTGCGGTTACTCAGCTCCAAGTTTGTGGAGGCCAAGAAGCTGCTCTTGTAGGCAGCATTGTACCAGCCAAGGTTATGGCTTCGCAGTGCTACGGTATGCAGATGACCACCACACCTAATATTGACTCATGTACTATGGCTATAACAAGGGTCTCAAATTGGTTACATATGGCTACAACAAGGGTCTCAAATTGGTTACCTTTTGCCTGATGGTACGGGACGTGCAGTGTGAGGAGTAGCTGGTTATTTTTGCGCGGTATTAGGGCGTATTCCTATCCTTGTATCAAGAATACCTCATATCAACCTCCCACTGAAAATTCCCCTAAACCCAAAACCTCTCGCTAGTTTTACCAGGCAAAAAGTACATTCTTGATATGAGGTTCTCTTGATACGAGGATAGGAATACGCTCTTAGGGCGGATTCCTGACTTCGGGACTTTTTGATTGGGAATTTCCCGAAACTCGAGATTGGGAATTTTTGATTGGATCCCAAAATATCGGATGACTCAAAGAGCGGAAGTCCCAAAGTCAGGAATCCGCCCTTATCATAAAATTCTCTTCAGGGTGGTATCGGTTAGAGCATTGATCGGAAAGGGGGTGGGGATCCTCACTAAGGTACTGTTGGAGTGGTTACACGAGTACCGGTTGCTACTACAGAAGGCGAGGCCACAATCAAGTCAGCAGGCAACTAGCACATTTGTGGGTACAAAAGAGCAACAGCACAGAGCTACTCCTCTATGCATGAAGGCAGCTCCTGAACCCTTCATTAAGTTCTGCCTCGTTCAGGTTACGGCCGATGAAGACAATTCTGTTGGAGCGCTTCTCATCCGGACCCCACGGCTTGTCTGGAGAACCCTCGAAAAGAGCATGCACGCCCTGCAGAAAGATTATGTGCAGAAGAGGATATTTCAGGTTGATGCGTAATTAATAATGTCAAAGATTAGAAAAGGTAGGTCAATGGAAGTGTCTGGTAGACTTGCCTGGAAGACGAAACGTTCCCGGCACTTGTGAATGGACAAGACTCCCTTCATGCGATAGATGTCATCGCTCTTCTCCGCAAGCAGATCTCCCAACCAGTCATTAATCTGGATTGGAAAGGCAGGTCAGAGGGACACAGAATGGTCCATTAGCAAAACAGAGTCATATTGTTCAAAATAGTTGAATGGTGAGCGATCGAATCTTACACAGCACGCACTGGACGACAATTGGCTTGGTGAAGACCGAGGTGATTGATGAAAGGATTGAGGTAACGGAGAAAGCAACAAGGCAATTGAGAAACGGACTAGGTGCAGCCTACCTTCTCCAAGTCGAGGTTGCCTTCACACTGAATGCTGACTGATGAGACACCTGTTGCGTGCTTCGCATGGGCTGGCAACAATGAAAAAGCAGGGTGGGTAAACCAAAAAGGCATAACATTAGATAGCTCCGTAAGTGAGCAACAGCCAGTACACAAGGTGACACGAAGGAATGCACACAAGGTGACACGAAGGAATGCACACAGCAGGAAAGGACAGGAATGCATACAGAAGGAAAGCCAAGGAATGCATACAGCAGGAAAGCACAGGAATGCATACAGCAGGAAAGCACAGACACCGTCATGTCAACATAATTTCTAGAACAGATGCATACAATACAGCAAGTCTTCCTGCATAGCTCCAAAATCAGAAGCGCTAGCAACGCTCAGAACACGCCTCATAAAACGCATTCTCCAAGAAAGTTTCGTGTATGGCTTCAGAATACAAAAAAACTTACAGTGGCTGTGCCCATGGTCATGGTCATGGTCATGGTGGTGGTGGTCATGGTGGTGGTGGTCGTGGTGGTGGTGGTCGTGGGCGTGCCCATGCTCCTCTGTGGAATGATCACCACCGCATGTCCCACAGTGCTCATGATCATGGTCGTGCTCGTGGTGGTGGTGGTGGTGGTCATGTCTTGACTCATTCAGAATGTAGATCGCTTACAGTGGCTGTGGCCGTGGTCATGATGGTGGTGGTGGTCGTGGTGGTGGTGGTGGTCGTGGGAGTGGCCATGCTCCTCCGTCGAATGATCACCACCGCATGTCCCGCAGTGCTCATGGTCATGATCGTGCTCGTGGTGGTGGTGGTGGTGGTCATGGCTTGACTCATTCAGAATGTGAGGCTGCACGTCCCTCTCAATCCTGCACGGAGAAAAAGGAGACGGGATGACAGCACGCAACGGATCGTGAGATTATGCTGGCGTTTCCAGTGGGCCAGCCTACAATGGCAGCACAATATCACTGAGTGTTCAACATTCGATGCACCAACAACGTCAGCACCGCCACCAGCAGCAGCAACAGTGAAGGCACACACCTCTCGAGGTCAAAGCCACCGATGCCGAGCACATAGTCCAGACCCACCTTGCCATACGACGTGGTGCTAAGCTGACTCTACAGTATGTCAACTGGCTTCAAGTGGACTACATAGAAGCGCACCTCTCAAGGTCGAAGCCACCGATGCCGAGCACATAGTCCAGATCCACCATGCCATACGACGCCGTGCTCATGCGAGCCATGGAGTTGATATCCTGCCACCCATCATTCACCCACACGGCGTTAAACAAGATCAGCGGGAACTCCTGATTCTCCAAACCACAAGATCAAGCAGTGCTGCTTAACAAAAAATAAAGAAAGACGTGATGGGTTTTGGGTATGAAACTCAGAGGATTGATCATACCTGAAGCCTTTCAACGAGCTCTTTCAGTTCGCCCTCCGACACCAGGTCCACCTGCAACACAGAGAGCAAAAAATTAAACCAGATCTTACATACATCCAACTATTCACTGTATTTATCTACACTTGCACGTGGGGACGGAGTCACGAGAAGAAAAAGGAGAAATGGAAGGAGGGGTAAGGGAAAGTGATGGGAGAATCCATTTCTTCCACAATTCTTGTTGACAAAAAGGCGGTCAGCAAACGCCACCTGCTCCACGGCCTCGTTGACCTCCGTTGACCTCTGTTGAAGCAAGAATGAAGGAGGAAAAGCCCTTTCTTATTGACACACCTTGTTTACGATCAGCCTGTCAGCGAATGCGACCTGCTCCACAGCCTCGTTGACCTCCGTTGACCCCTCAGCTGCCGCCTTCTCTGCAGCGTCCAGGTGGCGCGTGACGTGTTTGGCGTCCACCAGCGTCACCACTCCGTTTAACCCTTAAGTGGTTGTTTTCTCTGCCGCGTGATGAGTGATGTGGCGCGTGATGTGCTTGGCTTGGCGTCCACCAGGATCACTACTCCTTGTTCGGCTCACCTTATTAACGATCAGCCGGTCGGCAAACGCAACCTGCTCCACAGCCTCGTTGACCTCTGTTGACCCCTCAGATGCCGCCTTCTCAGCCGCGTCCAGGTGGCGAGTGACGTGCTTGGCGTCCACCAGCGTCACCACTCCGTCCAGCCGCAGCCCCTCTGCCAGCTCCTCTTCTAAGAAGAAGGTCTGAATGATGGGCGCTGGGTTCGCCAGGCCTGGGGAACAAGAGGAGACGGAGGGGAAGGAAGAACCAAAGAAGCAGGGGTGAGTGGAAGGGAAGGCATCCGTCCAGGTGGCGCGTGACGTGCTTGGAAACCACCAGGGTTACCACTCCGTCCAGGCGTAACCCCTCCGCCAGCTCCTCTTCTAAAAAGGTCTGGATGATGGGCGCCGGGTTCGCGAGGCCTGGGGTGGCGAGGGAGAGAGAAGGAGTATGGGGTATGGGGTATTAAGAACCACTCCGTCCAGCCGCAGGCCCTCCGCCAGCTCCTCTTCCAGGAAGAACGTCTGAATGATGGGCGCTGGGTTCACCAGGCCTGGGGGGGAAAGGGGGGAGAGAGGGACACGGAAATGAAGGAAAAGGAGGGAGCGAGTGGGTGTTGAGGTGACGTAAAGTCCTCCCCATCCAGCCAAAAACCCTCCTCCAGGCACCAGCTCTTCCTCTAGCTGTGTGATGTGATGAGCAGATTTTTGAGTCGGCCCAAAAAACGGCTCCAGCTCATCCTGTAGGAAGAACGTCTGAGGAATGGAACAAAAAGGGCAGGGAACACGGGACTTGATTTTCAGGTTCCTCCAAGAATGGACGGAGGGACAGGGAAAGCCGTAATGGCTTCAGCTCATAAGCCCGAAACTCGAGACTTCAGCACTCACATACTCCCTGACTCACTCACTCACTACTCACTTGTTCACTCCCTCACCTGTGGTTTCAATAACGATGTGATCAAACCCGTGGTTTCACTGAGCATGTGCACGAGGTAGCCTCTGAGAGTGCAGCACAGGCACCTGTTGTTGAGCCATCCACGTCCTCCCACCCCTACTGCTTACCTCACCCACACCTCAACACCCACTCCCACTCACTCCTTCACTGCCTCGTTCACTCCCTCACTCGCCACCCACACACCCATTCACTCCCTCCCTTGCTCCCTCACCAGTGGTTTCAATCACCATGTGGTCAAACTTGTCCCTCTTCATAATGATCAAGTCACTCAGCACGCGCACAAGCCCCCCCCACCCCACACGTCATCCAACCACGCCACGTCAGCGCACCGTCTAATGGCTAGCGGCTACTGACTCACCTGTGGTCTCAATCACGATGTGGTCAAACTTGTCCCTCTTGGTCGTGATGAGGTCGCTCAGCATGCGCACGAGGTCGCCTCTGACGGTGCAGCAGAGGCACCCGTTATTCAGCACCACCACATCCTCCGACCCCGCCAGCGCGCCCTCGTCTAACGGCTAGAGGCTACTCGCTAGCAGATAGCAGCTAGTGGCTCACCCGTGGTTTCAATGACGATGTGGTCGAACTTGTCCCGTTTAGTCGTGATGAGATCGCTGAGCATTCTAACGAGGTCGCCTCTGACGGTGCAGCACAGGCATCCGTTATTGAGCACCACCACATCCTCCGACCCCGCCAGCGCGTCCGCCACGA